CAATAACCGCCTCCCGGTTAGCTCAATGGATAGAGCGCTGGACTGTTGTGCGGGAGGTCGAGGGTTCGAGCCCCGGCCGGACCAACACTCAGGGTCTTAAAATAATTGAGAAGAATTTGCTACCTTTCTATAACATCAAGAAATGGTTAGATATTCTAGTCTTCTCGGATAGGGACGAATAAATGGAGGTCCCGTCTCCTGCAGGGTTGGGGTAGGAGACGTTAATTTCCCACGCACGAGATTACTGTGTGATGGATGTCCTCCCTGGGGTGGGTTGGGTGGGTAGTTACAGGGCCGTTCTGAAAACCACTTCTGTGAGAACGCACCCTGTCTAAAGATTATTATCTACTTATCTATCTATCTATCTATCTACGGTCCTGAGCAAGCTTGGTTAATAAGAGATTTATGATACGACTGAAGTTCAAAGGGACACAAGTGCGGTATCATCCAGGACCATTCGGGACAGTGCCCGGTCCAATACTGAGAGAATATTGACCGGCAATAGAGCATTTTGATTGGTTAATTTTAGTTATTGGCCCTCTGACTGCCCGAGTCGTGTAATAAAATCTTGTTATTCACAGGTTATAAGCTTCAACTGCAAATTGTTTTAATGTTGATCAAGTCAGATGGACTTGTTGGACTAAATTTTAAAAAAAACTTCTAATAAGCAGGCAGAAATTTTTAGCAAAAGCTGATTGTAAAAAACACTTCTCTCTTTTTTTTTTTTTAGATCGTATATATAGATGCCTATTTGCTGGATCTGTCAATTCCCTTCTCACTTTACCATTAGATATGTTATCCACGTAAGTACACTGTGTCTTTCCCATCTCAAATGTACAGTACAATGTAGTAACCAAGTTTAAGGGTTTTAACCTCAACCTTTGGCAACAAAAAAATCATGAAATGGCTGCCATGACATAGAAAAGCCCTCTGTAAACTGCATTGCATAACATTCTATATCAGAAATCATGACAAAAAGAAAATGACAGAGCATAGTCCAAATGTTTATGTTTATGTAACTTTAACATTGAGACCTTTAAAAAAAACAAAAAACAAGTAATAAGAATATTACAGATTGCTACATGTACAGTACTGCCCAACATAAGTAGCCATATTGACTACTTTTGCTGCAAATTTAGTCTTGCACCAAAAGCTTTGTCTTCTTGGAATGTTGACCAAAGTTGTGGCAGTTTGGAACACTGAGTGCATTTTTGAAAATGACAAATTAATTTTAGACCATGGAACACATAAAAAAAAAAAGTATTGGATAATGTTAGAAAAGGTAATGAAATTTTTCAAGATAAAAAAGGGGAAAACTCTGTATGAAGAGACCACAGCTGTTTCAAAAGAATTTCCAGCAAGATATACCTGAGTAATTTTTTCCAAATGAATAGCCATGAAGATGTTCATACACATAATTAAGCCTTGCTTGTTTTTTTCAAACCAACAAAATATTTGAATCCATGACAAAATGAGGTAGTTTTAAATTTCTAATAATATGATACTTTCAGTTAGCTGTTTATCATATTGTTGCAATTTTTCTCTCTCTGCAGAGAAAATCTATTTTCAGACTGCCTACGAGGATGTTTTGTGGTAGCATGTACACTTTGTGCATTCATCAGCTTAGTCTGGCTACGGGAACAGATTATTACAAATGGTGGCCCTGCATGGCTGGAGCCAAATGTAGTTGATCCTCTTCCCCAACTTAATGTTGTAAGTTGAAGTTCAAAATGATTGAAATTGGCTCTTACAGGGGCATCTTAATCTCATACTTCTGTTGTTCCTTAAAAGAATTTCAGGTCAAACTGATTTTAAAGATTTTAAACCAAGAGAAAAGTAAAATCACACCATGTGCATTCACACTTTCTTTTAATTTAGGTAAACAATGATCCTGGGGGTGCTGCTGGGGATGCAGCTGCCGAGGGAGGTGGGGTTGGGGGGAATGTTAACCAGCCTCAAGATATTCCAGAGGAAGAAGGCAACAATGGAGCAAATCAAGATGCAGAAAACGGAGCTCAAAATGGTGATGGTCAGTATAAACAGCAAGAAATAGTTTTTGTAATTATAATTGAAAAGAACAAAATATTAATTCTCTGGAATTTTCTATGAAGTTGCATGTATATTATGGTGACTATATCATCTCTTTTGTAATTAACCTTTAAATTCCCATAATTGACCGAGACAGAATTTCTCCTTACAATATCAACACCATATCAAGCAGACAGGTGATGAGAATGAAGAAAAATATCAATTAGGGGATTATTAGTTGATCCAATACCAAATTCTCTGAACTAACATCATTAGAGTTGTATAGCAGACAGTAAGGAGAGCTACCTGTGAGATCAAGGGAGCTAAAGGGTTAAATACCATACATCCAAGTTGGAATTTTACTGTAACTCTGACACCCTGAAGCTTTTTGTAGAACAAGTTAAGGAGCTATGGTAAGATAAATGAGTATCATGATGACAGGTGAAAGCCCTTTTACAAGGGGCCAATGGAACTGCTTTAAAACCTTATAATTTTTATACCAGATGCAGTTTGAATATAAAGCTAGGAACAACAAACAATAATCATTGGCTTTTCTGTTGCTGGAGAAACAAGACTTTCACAGCTGACAGCGGAATGTCTGACAACATACACCAAACTTCTGTTGAATGATTTGTGCAGCTTAAGTATATTCCATTTTCATCACTGAATGCTTGCATTTCTTGCATGTTACAAGACAGGAGGATTTATTAGAATAACTCTTCTTGTTTGCTTTGATGACACTAATGATTTTAAGGGTATTTTTTTTTCTTTTTCCTCACAGATGATGGAAATTGGAATCCTGTGGAATGGGAAAGGGCTGCTGAAGAACTTACATGGGAGAGGGTGAGATTATTTCTTTGTTCCCAAAATTAGCCACTTATTTCACCAACTTACACCCGCATGGTGATTATCACAATTAATACAACATTTGTTTTATGTCGTGACATGCTTGTATAACATAAAACATTCAATGTTATTTCATACTATGTTGAAGCTTACCAACTTGCTATGAGTTCATCGGCAATACTGTTTTTTGTTACCCACATGCAGGAAGCATTGCAGATGTAATAAATTTTTCTCAATTTCAAGCAATTTTCTTCAACAGATGCTTGGGCTGGATGGATCTTTAGTATTTTTGGTGAGTTTCCAAGTTATTTCTTCTTGTAATTAGATTAAATGAATTATCTTTGAAACTGTGGGTGAAAAACAAGTGAAGATATGATCTTTGAAGGTGAGCTGCAATAAAAGAAATTGCAGGAAAGAAACTTTCTGCAATTCCTTTCATTGCAGCTAACCAGGAAGGATCCTGTCTTCACTCATTTTTTGCCTGCCTGTTACAGATTTTTCATCTGTATCATTCAGCTGAAAATGCCTGTTGAATGATTTCCAGCCAATATTGATAAAGCTTAATACAAGCAGGTGCACTTACCTTGTGCTGCTATGCACATATTGGGTTATGAACCTGTTTAATCAATAAAAAGTTCCAAAATGATGTTAAAATGAAAATCTCTGATTATTTGTGAACGTTTTGATCAACAAATGCATCTTTGGATTTTTCTTTGCAGGAGCATGTTTTCTGGGTAGTCTCTCTAAACACATCTTTTATTTTGGTCTTTGGTGAGTAACTTTGCTGGGTTATTAGTTTAGTTTATTAGATTTGCGGACAGGCAGGGAAACCGCAACAGCTGGCGCCAATTACTGTGGGCCCAGTAAACCCATCCATCCCACCCCAGGGGAGGACATGCACCACACATTAATCTTGTGCGGGGGAAATTAACGTCCCCTACCCCTAACTCTGCAGGAGACGGGGCCTACGGTTTATTTGTCCTTATCCGAGAAGACTAGAATATCTATCCATTTCTTGATATTATAGAAAGGAGCAAATTCTCCTCAGTTATTTTAAGACCCTGAGTGTTGGTCCGGCTGGGGCTTAAACCCTTGACCTCCCGCACAACAGTCCGGCGCTCTACCAATTGAGCTAACCAATTAAGGGAGTTGTGCCACAATTTGTGCTTCTTGAAAAGTTAAGCTTTGATTTGTTTTGGAATCCTCTCCATCCAGAACCATCCACACTCCTGTTTGGTTTGTTTAAATTACCTCAGTGTTGTTTGTTCACTTTACTATACCATTATTTTTAAGATCAAATTTTGCAAAGACGAATGATGTTTTTTGAAAAAATGCTTTGTTATATTATGATCACGATATGCTACATACAGTCACATGTTATCATCCCATTTTAAGGTGGTGTGATGGTTGATTGTTGTGTTTTTCAGCCTTTTGTCCTTTCCACATTGGGCAGTTTACAGTTATTTTATTGTCACTTGAAGAAGTGGTAGGTGGCAGGGTTTATGACATCTGTGTATGAATGATGCCAAGCTCTAAACTTACTTGAATTTGTATTTAACAATTATTCGCTGAAGGCGAGGTGAATATCGTCGAATAATTCCCGAGACGAAGTCGAGGGGATTATTAGACAATATTCACCGAACCTGAGGCGAATAATTGTTTTAGTTTTATTTCAGAGCTGAACAACAGAGAAATTTCCAAAATCATAACATTATTGTAACATTTATTAACTTTTTATTTTAACATTTTATATAAACCGCGTGGAGCGGTTTATATAGCGTCATATAAGGAACCGCATGACCAATCAGATTGCTGGAAACTCTTTGCTCAGCTCTGAAATTATACTAAATATCAATAGTGGTACTATGAATGACCAGAGTTCAAATTGGTTTGGAATCATGTGAAAGATAAATAAAAGGAGATACCTGCTAAGTGGGATGCCATTTAGTTTATCATGATTACAGACATACTTGGACAACACAAAGTTGTCTCCACTTTAAACTCTGACAAAATTTGAGAAGCAAAATGCCTTTAGCTGAAATTTAATTTTAAATAAAAACATATCAACTGACTTTTTTGGAATAAACCCCAAAAGTCATATCATGGCATGTGCAAATGACATGTTTTATCTAGTTTGTGCATTGTTGAGCATGGTGCACACACTGCCCTATTGGAGCTCAAATTGAGTTGCTGATCACCAGTCGTGACTGAGAATTTTTCTATAGTTGTTGTCAATCATGAAGTAGAGGAAAAGCCTTCACTTCAGATTAACTCAGGTAATGGAAAGAGCAGAAATGAATGATAAACAATAATCTGTGGCAACCTGTTCTAAAAATTGATTTTAGTGAAAACTCACGAGCCCTTTTCAGTCTTAAGTCACTCCACAATTAATTATTTTTTGTGACACATAAGTATGTACATTTTTCATAGTGTGATTCACTTTCTTTTTTAAAGTCATAGATAGAATTATGCTTGTCAAGTGTTACCTTCTTTTTAGTCATATCTCAAATACTTAAAACAAAAATTTACTCAGTCCTCTGAGACACTTCTTTTTTTTTTTTTCATGGCTGTATGAAATACAGAAGCCATTTGTTTATTACCTAAATGCTTCAATTTGTTTTTAACTTTCTTTGTCTTTTATTTGCAGTTTCAATCATCAAAATTTGAAGGTCTACTAACTGCAGTTCTAGGATATGTGATTATCGCCTTCTCTCTTATATTATGTCATGTATCCTTTTTTTCAAATAATGTTGCCTTGATGTATTCTAGGATTTGTTTTCCTGGAAACTTACTACTTGTACCATACTGCTTACTGTGGCAGCCAAAATGGTAGCAGCTTGGAGCACTTATGATCCTTTGTACCATATATCTGTTATAAAATTCAATTATTGTAACTAATTTGTAACTCCTGGTATCCTAAAAGGTACATTGTCTAGATAGTGCTGTGGTCTAGTTAGACAGAAAAATAGTTCTTCCTTAACTTTCTTTTTTTATAGAGTGTGGCATCCCTGTGTGGATTGAGAAGGTAACAATATTGTTTCATTTGTATCCTAATTGCTATCTTTGTCCTATAGACTAAAGATAGATATGTCACTATTTTACCCAGTAAGTGTTGTGAGCTTCATAGCTGAAGGACTGTTGGAGCTAGGATGCTGTTTGTTTGCAACCCTCAGCTGGGTACAAACCCTCATCCTCAAGACAGCAAAATTAGGAGATCTGAAGTTTGAATTCTTTTGGGGCATCGCTATTGTTTCCTTCATCCCACACTTGTGACTAATGAATAACATCTGGCTTTAATTATAGTGTTTTTCTTTTTTGATTGATTTTGCAGAGAGAGTTTTGAGAAGCTCTCTCGTGATAATCAGAGTGAGTGTTAGTAGTGCTTGTAATTAAAGTTCACCTCAGAGCCAGTCATAGTTATCTATGATCACTCTCTCTTTTTTTTTTTTTTCTCATGCAGACCGAAAAGAATATTGGGGTTGTGCTACGTAGTAGTTAAGGTAAGAACTTGTAGGAACTTCTTGTTTACTTTTATGATTACTGTGGTTTTGGTTTTATTACACTCTATTTAAAGGCACTCAAATTTGTTAATATATCTAGGTTATTCAGACTAACTTTATTCCAATTACTTCTTACTTGATTTCCTGGCAGGTTTCCTTGTTAATGTTGGTAGAGATTGGATTGTTCCCATTGGTGTGTGGTTGGTGGTTAGATGTATGCTCACTGGTGAGTCTGTCCAAAAGACAACTTTATGGTTGAAATATTTCCAGCTTGATTATAACAGTACTCTTCTAACATTATAGCACCAACTCCTTTAAACAGTTATAACTTGCTGTTTTGTGGAGGCTGTCCATATTTTGCTACCAAAGTCATGCAGTATCAAACACATTTTGATATTACTGCAACTTACACGCGTTAACAAGCTAGCAGCCATCTTCTCCAAATTGATAGGCACTGAGCAAAATAAGCTCTTTGTCTTAAACTTTAAAGTTACTGTTACAGTATTACTTTTTGAAGATGTCAAAAGGGATGTTCATTACTGCTTTATCAATTATTATTAATGGAAGTCTTCCTTTTCTTCCTCTAGTCTCTGTTTGGTGCTACATTGAAAGACAGGCTTCTGAGTGTTGATTCGGCACCAGGTATTTTAATTACGATAGGAAGTTGGAGTCTTTTTTTTTTTTTTTTGAGGAATATACTCTACATCGAACTTTTTCTTCCTGAGCAAAAATTGAAAAGAATTTTAGAAGTATGTAGAGTGGAAGGTTATGAAAGATCTTTTAAAGTCAACCTGATCTGAGGGGAAAAAAAAACCGTGCGTTTCTTCGCCTGCGGGAAAGTATGAAACCTCGAGCAACGCGGGTCAGATAGAGACCTGCATAATGAGAGACTTAGCGAACCAGAACGCGGCGCAGTTTGGATACACCGAAACCGAGAACGCCGTTACGAGCGCGGGAAAAACAAAGCTACAGATGCGAACGCGACGACAGCCCAGAGGCTAAAATCCTTCAAATTCTGCCAAACACATATTCATTTTAAAGCTGGTATCAGTTATACATTAAAAAATGGCAACATTCAGAGAGGGGAAACGCGTGTTCTGCAGCGCTGATAATGACAAAGGCCCACTGACATGCCTGCTGTTGCGAAACATTCCCAGTGTTCATTTGAATAGTTTATATTCCTAATAGAGTAAGGGGAGACTAACAGCCAGATTACGTTTACACGCGCGGTGAATAATGTAGTGTTACACATTGTTTTGTAAATTTCCCCCCTTTTTCTGTTTTATTTCTCCAGGTACAGCCATGTTCCTTCATTGGCTGGTTGGTATGGTTTACGTGTTCTACTTTGCTTCATTTGTACTCTTGCTCAGAGAGGTGCTCAGACCTGGTGTCTTGTGGTTCTTGAGAAATCTGAATGATCCTGACTTCCATCCAGTCCAGGAGGTACGTGACCTCTCCAAGTTACGAAATAAGCCCGCTCCTCCCCATGAAGACTTCTCGGAGACAGGAACCAAGAAAACGATTGAAACCGAGTCTAGTTATAGTTGTTCCTAATTCCTCCCGGTTAGCTGGTCAGGGAAGTTGA